TTTTTTTATGCATTTAATAAATAAACGTGTGTTATATATTAGGAGGGATATCTATTATCTACCAGCCAATCAATTCACAATAGTTTTTTGTTATTTATAAAGGATACTCCCAATCCCCAAAAACAAGCTAAATATGTCATATATGTTTGAAAAATTGATAAAAGTGAATAAGTTTCATCGTATATGTTTGGAGTATGGTTTAATGATTAAAAAAGTTGCATCAATTTAACTAGAGATCTCGAATTGAAAATATTTCATTTTTATTCAGTCTGAATTAATTTAGACTCTTGTTAAGCTAAGTTCTATCAACTCAATCAAATATTTTGCACTTGATCAAAACAAAAAATCAAATGTTTCACACGAAAAAAATTCATACCCATAATCACCACTGGATCCGTTTTTTTAAAAAAAAAATAGCAAAGCATCTATTTTACTATGTGAGGTTCATTTTTCTCAAAATGTTAACTTCTGTTATTAAAAATGGTTATCCCATGACGTGAAAGCGAAGTGAGATATATATAATGTGCCAATTTGAATAACATCTGAAATCAATTTTAAAAGTCAAAATCATAATTTCATGAACATATATCCGAACACTTGTGTTGTATTTTAAAATCAATTATGAATCTAAACATTTTTTTAAAAATATCTAAACATTCATTATATATGCTAAAATTAATTATGAACTGAAAATTATGATTTTTTTAAAAATATCCAAATACTTCTTATAGTGTCAAAATTAATTATGAACCAAAAAACATGATTTGTGAGTATATGATTTTTAGATAAATTTTAGAAACATATAATTGAAAAATTGAATTAAAAAGTGAGTAATAGTAGCTTGTGAGATAATTATGATTTTGAATTTATAATTAATTTTGATGTGCACGGAAGTGTTTGAATATTTGTAAGAAAATCATGGTTAAGTTCATAATTGATTGTAGCATGTATAATGGGCATTTGAATATTTTTTAAAAAATATAGTTTTGAATTTATAATTAATTGTAACATGTAATATAGGTGTTTGGATATATTTTTATAAAATTATGATTTTACTTTTTTTCTATTTTTATTTTTAACTTTGATTAAAATTAATTTTATTAATCAATTTTATAAATCAATGTATACCACATAACATAATTAATTATATTTAAAATTAATTATATTAATAAATTTTTTTATAATTAATTATATTCAACTAAAATCGAAACACACCAAATAACAGCAATTGAACATAAATTTGAAAAATAATGAACAAGAGCATAAAAAAAAAGAACCTAGTGGATTTATATTATTGATTATTAATATACTGCTAACGGGTTTCAATAATTGCCAGCTTTTGCCAGCTTGCGCTTCATCATTCAAGCCAAATAAACAAAACACGAGTGAAGACTTTTCCCTAGACTCCAATTCCCAACACACCAATAAAAAAATGTCAGCTGGAGCTTACCTCATCCGACCTCTCCATTGCGCCACGTGCCCCTCCAAATTCATGCGGTGCACGTGGCGTCCAAGCCAAGGAGGTTCCCTCTGGATCCAGCTGATCCGAGGCCCACCACATCACTCCCTCTCATCATGTTCACGACAGCCAAACATGCGCCACTTGGGACGACCATTTTATTCTCTGTAGTTGGAGCCCCCGCATGTTAGTTGTTTTCCATTTGCAACTGCAACATTATTTATTATTTACTTTATTAATTTATTATTGACTACCTCTCCAGTCCCTACTGTAATTAATTTCTCGCCAAACGGCTATACAAAATAAAAATAGCAATATAATCGTAATCCCAGAGTTGTGTGGGATCGGAGAATCGAAAGAGAGCAGGGAAGGGTGAAGAGTCATGTTACCCTTTTCAGGTTTGCCAAAATGACGAACAGGTCCTCGTCGTCCGACGCGCGTTGACGCCATCCCTGTTCGTCAGAATTCAGGTCGAACAAACAATAACGGGTCTCTGCCATGCGTCAGAGCTAGATCTACGGTTAGGATCTAAGGGTGCTTCGCGAAATTCGGAGATGACCGTGTCTCAACTAGAAAAGGTCACCAAACGCGGAATGGGTTCTGACTCGTCTGTAGAGTTGATAAACGAACGGGCTTAATTTATATAAATTTAGTCTTTATAGACTTAGTCCTTAAAGTTCGATTATCTCAATTTTACTCTAAAATTAAAGCTTAACTCTTATTCATAGGACTCAGGGCCTGGCCCGTAAGCCCGAATAAGAATAAAATAAAATAAAATAAAATTTAATATTAAAATTTATTTAGAATATTTTAAAATTTAACATATATCAAATTAAAGTCTTATATAATTTAAAAAATAAACAAAAAATTTAAAAGTCCAAATAAGATGAAGGCAAACATTATCATCAATCTTAATCAAGATCTCCCTCATTATCATCCATAAATAAAATATTAAAACCCTCAGATGTAGGTTCACTTGTGAAAGATGGAGGCGGAGGCTCAATATTAATTATTTCTACAACTTCTTCATCATCACCTATAATAATTATTAATTAAATTATTTTATTATCAAATATATATCTATACATATATCACAAGATAAAATATTAAAATTACTATAAAATGGCACAAAACAATTCAATCAATTGCTAGTACAAAATACAAATCAATGTTTGCACATTATTTGAAAAGAGGTGAAAACAATACTTTGTGAATAGTAAAACGGGCTTCACGGACCGTTCGGGCCCGAGCCCGTTTTTCTAGGACTTAAAAGGGCCGGGCTTCAAAGCCCGGTTACTCTAAAAAATGCCAAATTTTTAAACCCGAACTCTTATTAAAACGGGTTTAAACGGACGGTCCGTCAAACCCGATCCTTATTCTCAACTCTACTCGTCTGAAAGCCAACAACTCGAAGGCTGGACAGTAGCATCAAAGATTAAAAAATCTCCATTAAAACATATGCCTATCTATCGATTGTATCCTCAACAAGATTATTTATAATAAAAAGATACTTATAACTAAATTTTTTTTTGTTAATTATTCTTTCCCATGCAAAATGCTTATATATATTAGTAAGACAGTTTTTATTTCTGAATCTTGGTCCAAGATATACCATACGTATTTTATAAAAAGTCAATAATATTAATTATTGTACAAATAACCTTATTAACTATATTATAGAGAGTAGTTATATAAAAATTAATTTAAATCTGTAATTTAGATATATTAGTTTTAATTGAAAAGTAATTTTATAGGCATGTGATAATTTTTACTCCTGCAACAATAAAAAAAACAAATTTTAACTAATTTCCTTAATTCTTGTGAAGTGGGACATTTTGGACCGGACGGAATATTATATAATTAGGAAATAGGAAATTCCTGGTATATTTCATCTGAATTGCGCAACTTATAAAATTTATAGTATTATGTAAAAGTAATCCCATTTTATTTAAAAATAAATGAAATTATGACATGTTAAAAAGGATAGAAAAACACGTTAAAATGTTAAAGTATACATTTAATTTTTTTAATTTTCTATAAAATTTTATTTTGATCTTTTAATTATATAAATTATCTTTTTAATTCTTTAAGTATAAAACAGTTAGTTTTAATATAAAAAATTTTATATTAAATTTGTAAATATTGACAAAATATTTTTAAATATTAATATATTTAATTTAATTTTTTAAATATATTGATAATTGATATAAAAAATAATTATTTAAAATTAATAGTATTAATGTTAGATAATTAAAAGATATTTTATAAATTTAAAAAATTAAATTAAAATTTATATAAAAACATTTAGAAGTATATTTTAACTATTTTAAATTGAAGGAAAATGGCGGTACAATGGACTGGCAGAGACAGGGACAGTTTACTGGCCGTTTGCGAACCGACACATGCTGGCACGATACAAACAACGAAGGGTGGTTATGGTAATTCTGTAGAAGCAGAAGAAGACAAGCCAAGTACATTCACAAAATTATAGTTGTGCTCCTCAAATAAGGAAATTCCCCGCATGAGACCAAGACTTCACAGGTGGCACTTACTCATTTGATGTGATTAGGTGCGGCCACCACTGCAGCCACAACAAAATTCAAACAAATGGGAAGCCAGCGAAACAAAGGAAAAGGGACTGCATGAAGTTGTTTTTATTTTATCATTTAAAAAAATTAATTTTTTAATTCTTTAATTTTTAACTCATTTGTAGCTTAATTTTTTAATTATAACTTGCTATTACTCAACGTCTCAACTTTTAATTCACTCATAACTCAGTTTTTATTTTTAAATTTTATTTTAAAAAATTTCTTATCAAATAAGAGAGATAAAAAAATACTTATATATTATTTTAAAATATTCTCTTCTTGTTCATTGATGTGAGATATAAGCTATTATAAAAAAATTAATAAAAGTTAATGAACTAATTTATAAGTGATTCAAAAGTTAAAAGATTAAGTCATAGGTGAGTCATAGTTTAGGACTGAGTTACAGCAAGTCATAATTGAGGGATTGAGTTACAAATAACTTAAAAGTTGAAGAATTAAAAGATTAATTTCTTCTTGCTTTGAAAATTAGTGTTTTATATAATATATTTTAAGAATAAAAAAATAATAAAAATAAATATTTTTTATTCTCCCTTATTCTTTAAAATAATAATTATAGAAGACATAAAAGTTATTTTTATTTTTCTATTCTCTAAAATAATAGTTTTTTATTTCTTAAAATATTTTTTAAAAATATGTTATTATATAAATTTTTTTGTTCTCTTATTTTAAAAAACAAAAAATTGTTTTCAAAACAAATTTTTAAACTGGCCCGAAAATTGACCCATTACACGCAAGGCACCGTCCGTTGCTGAGTTAACCCACGTTAGGCTACATATTCTTGGATGCCGAAAGCTAGTAAATTTAAAGCGCTTTTTAGATTAAACAATTATGATTAATGTGATTGCAGGAATCTTTTTGAGAATTATTGGTTGATTTAGTCGCAGTCTCTCTAAGGCCCTTCCCCTTCTCGCCTCTTTATATTCTTCCTTCTCCTTTTCGCCTTCCACTCACCTCCTTCACGCCCTGTTCTCTCAATCTCTCTCCTCGCAGTTCTACTGTCAGCTCTCTCCATGGCTTTCGCTGCCCTGCGACTGTTCGTTATCTTCGGCCTCTTGGCTGCCTCCTGCTTTGCTCAAGCCCCTCGAGGTGCACCGGCACAGCCCCCAACAGCAACCCCACCGACGGCCAGATCACCTGCTCCCAGCACCCCGCCGCCGGCCACTCCACCACCATCCACCCCTCCTCCGGCTGCAGCACCTGCTCCCACCACTCCTTCACCAATGGCATCTCCTCCTTCACCTACCCCTGCCGGTTCTCCACCACCGTCCTCTGAATCACCTGCTAACTCCCCCACCTCACCTCCTCCTGAGGCTCCTACACCCGCTGGCGACGGTGCCCCTGCTTCCCCGCCGTCTGATGGTTCCTCGCCGCCGCCATCTGCTGCATTCTCCGTCAGCAAGGCGTTCGTTGCCGGGACAGCTCTCGTGGGTACATTTGTGGCCATGGCCGTGATCGCTTGAAGCTAGGAAGGATGGATTGGTTTCGTTATCGGGATTCGTCCACGTTGGAGAGAGATAGGCCGTCGATCTTGATATTTATTGGACGGACGGACGAGATCTGTTTGATTTTTCTTCCGAGCTTTTCTTCTATTTCGATTCTCCCGATCCGTTTCCTATCTACTATTAATTGAGGGGTTTACTTTTTTTTTTTTTTTGTTTTCATTGTGCTTCTATGTTGATTCGAGATTTGATGGTGATGATTATTTGGTGATTCATTGTTGTGTTTTACACGTGTATGTAGATGACTGCCCTGATCATTTCGGTGTACATCTCTAATGATAGAATATGAATAAAACAGCTTGTAATTCTTTTACTATATTCTTAATTTCTTATTTCCCAACTTTGGGCCATTTCTCTCCCGCTTGAAAGTTGAAACCAACCAGTTTTGATTCGCTGACATTGCTCGTGACATGACATGAGAACCTTTTCTCATTGCTTTTCCTTAGAACTCATCTTTTTCAAAACCAAAATAAGTTGCTTTATGCCCAGATCTGCATTGGATTCAGTGCTATCATACATGGAAAATTGGAAAGTAAGAAGTGATTCCTTTGACGGCAATCCAACAAGCTTAATCTAGAGATGTGACTTGAGCAGAACAATAAAAACGAGGCTAATTCGGCATCTAGATTTTTTTTTTTTTATGCTTTCACCAACAATTCGGCATCAAGATGAAAAGCCTATGATGAAGGTATAACGACCTTTTCCTTTCAGTATTATTTAAAAAAGAAAAAAAGAAAAGAGCATTTAAAAGCTTTGGCTTTTCTGTGTAGACGTGCAAATAAATACATTGGATCCTCTAATTTGGGCAAATTGACATTCAGATGCATCTAGGCGCTTAATTTAAGCTTGCCGCCTGTAGATTTCCTTTTGATATTAAGACTCACAAAGACGCACAGGCGTGGGGGATGTAATGTTGAGTTAGAATTAAGAATGTGTTTAATTAGAAATTTTTTTAAGGAAAAGCAAGATTCTTCCCTCATCTAGTTAATGCCTTATAAAAGAAAGAAAGAAAAGCCCCTTATTTAGTTTGAAAAATAGAAGGAAGGGGAGCCCACCCCTCGAATTTGGAGTTTTTTTTTTGAAGAGAGGAGGAGAGACAAAATAATTAAAAATAATTTAAATATTTATTTTAAAAATTTTAAAATACATTTAATGTTAAAAGATTATGTATAACTTTTCTTTCTCTTTTTCTTATAATAAAATAAATTTTATCACCTTACAAAAATTAATATATATATATATATATATATTTTTCAATATATAAAATTTTAATATTTTTCATTAGACTCACTAATAAAATATAATATTAATGTATTTGTTCTTCAAATTTTTTTATTAATATAAGTTCATTTTTTTAAAATAGAAACCTAACAAATTTTAATGTACCAGTTTTTTTAAAAGCAAAAAAATAAAAATCATGTCAAATTTGATAGAAATAAAATTGTTAACTTATTTTTTATTCTCCTCCCTTCCTCTCTTAAACCAAATAAAAATTTATTAAAATACCTCTCCTCCCTTCCCTAAAACCAAACACATTAAAGATGGAGATGCAGCTTTGTTTCATACATGCCTTTCCTGTTATCTTATGTTCGGCACATTCTTGTGGAGATTTGATTTTTTCATCAAAATTTTCATGATAAAACCAGCAAAGGTTAACCCATTTGATTTATAACTCATGAGATTGTGAGTTCAAATCCTATTGTTAAGATGAAAAATTTGTTAGTGAACTATTTATTTTTTTGATCAACTGAATATGCATCCTATAACCAAACCAAAAGGAAATGTAAAAACGTAGCAACAAAAGTTAAAACAGAGATAAGCAAAAGCAAATCCAAACAAAAAAAATAAACAAGGAGCAAACAAAACAAAATAAAAGGCAAGGAGCTATAATAATCACTCAACGCACAAATTGTCAATCCCAGAAGAAGGATGCTCCAAATTTAAAGAAGCCACCATGAGATCAGCAGCTAAAATATTAGACAAAAGAAGTGATGGTATCATCGTCCATCCAAGTGAGTACACATCCTTGCAAGTACAGGCAGCTATATGGTTAGCTGCCTTATTACTTTCATGTCGAGTGAAAAAAAGAGAAAACTCAGCATTTGATGTCATCAGATCAATTAAATCTAAGATCATACTTCTACAGATCCATTCACCAAGGTTAGATCACTGCTGCTTCACACAATTCACAAGAGACAAACAATCACTCTCAAAAATAACATATGCCTTTCCCCAAGTTGACTACAATCATTAAATCTTTTTTAAGAGCCATAGCTTCTGTCATGAACAATGAGATTGACTTGATTTTTTACCACAAAAGCCCATTTGAATTCTCCCCTTTCATCTGTGCAAATAATAACCATGGTAGCACTATTGTCTTTAGAATGAAAAGTGCTATCAAAGTTGCTTTTGGGCACCCCACATGAGGAAATTGCCACACGTTCAACAGCTGAATATTGGCGTTTGCTTTTGGGCTTGATTTTTCGATGCCTTAGAGCTAAATTTGAGCCTTACAATCCCTTAAGATGAGTTCCTAGCCCTCCCCTCTACCATTCTACACAGTTCCTAACCCCCTTAAATAGTGGGGTGGAAGTGGTATTGTGAGTGAAAATTTATTGATCAAGCTGCAAGAGAACTATTATTAATATATGATAGAGTGTGCGTGGGAGGGTGTGATTGATTATGTATGGTTTTTATTATGTTTGGCAAATTACGTTGATTTGAAAAGAATATACTTTTTAAGGAAAAAATTAATTACCAAGTGCGTTGAATTGTATATAAATATTATGTTTGGCATAATATTATTGTTGGAACAAAATTAATTGCCAAGTGGTTCGGAAAGGATATATTTACTGTTGTCTCTTTTGTGTGTGTGTGTGTGTGTTTTTTTTTTTTTAGCCTACATTACTTTGAACCAAATTAACCTTGGCTGATTTGGGTTTTTTATGTAATTGTTTTATTTTAATGAAATTGATCTTTTATAAAAAGAAATCTATAATATTTAATTTTCAGAATTTGCCCAACTTGGAAAACATACCATAGTTGTTTAGATGAAGCAAGGTGTTGTGGAGGAAGAACGTGGGCTATGGTTCGGTGTTATAAGCTAATGCATCTCTTTCGAGATTAGCTTAACCCAATCGAGTCTAAAGCAAGTGCTTCCCATAACGTCATTGTTTTTTCCCCCTATTTTTAATTGTCTTTTTTTGGGGGGGGGGGGTGCGGCGGGTCTCGAGCATATGCCATTAACCAGTAATGCCCACGTTTCATGTTTTTGTTTCGTTCCCCATGATTTAGATTGAATAATTTCTTTTTTGGCAAAATTTAGATTTGATTAATTTCACACTTACTTAACTGATAACCACTATATATCTTAATCACTGTTTTAGATTGATCCATAATGGTTAACTTTACGTGCATTTGATATATTTTTTTAAGGTAAATTGTAGGAATCGTTTTTAAAATTTAAAAATTTAATTTATCTCTTTTGAGGTGTATATCTGATCTTGCCATCTCCAAAATTTCGATTTTTTTCTGCGTCTTCTATCATGTGCAGTAATGTAGCTTCTGGTTGGAAGAAAAATAAAAAAATCCTTGCTATTATCTCCTAAGGATTATCTCACTAGCGGCTCAAGCCGAAAAAAGATCCATTACTCACTTTTCTACAAAACTTGCCACAGCTAAGCAGTCTCAAATCTCTCCGATTTATTTGAATGTGAGCTAAACCACTTTCTGATATAGTTACGTTTGCAACTTCTTGGGTCCCCTAACTCTCAGGGTTATTATCTCTGTTCTTGCTTCAAATTGGGTAAAACAGAGCGTAACGTCTCTAACGTTGAAAACATGCAAATGATCATAATAAGCATATCAACTACATGTATAATTATCTGCAGACGGAGTGACGAGGAGATATAATTGCATGCACAATTCACATCTCTCTCTCGTAATTACACAGCACAATAATGCAGTGAATTTTGCTCAGATAGAGAATGTGTAGTCCAATGCATTGAATAAGTTCAGCGTAGGGAATTGCTGAAACTCTCTCTATCTGAGCTCACAGTCTGGTAGTTTGGTGAACCTGCAGACAAGATCCACAGTCTTCACTCTTGACCCTGAACCATATTGAGAGTTCCTAAATTAAATCTGTGTTTTTGAAGCACTCCAACAATCTGAATATAAGTAGTTTCCGTGATGCTAACTAGGCCACTGATCCCGATCATAGAAGACTTGCAACTAGTTTCCACGTGTTTTCAAAGGAACAAAATGTATTGTCTCATTCAAGCACTAAGACCGAGTATACACGAAAATCTTGCCACTGTAACTAAACAAACTCAAGATTCAATCTCTGCCAATTGGGGATCGAACATCTCAGAACAGAACCATACAAGTGTTGGCTACACCGGCGGCAGACGTGTACGGCGACACCTGATTGGTTGCTTGAGTCGTGTCCGGAAGGACACTGTCCTTAAGAACTATTCTGGCACACCGTCCGACGTCCGGCAGTTCCCCAGGATAAACAAGCACCTCCTCGGTGGAACGAGGGAACAGAACAACGGAGACCAAACGTAAGCACAGACGAACACAAACAGATTTACAGAGGGAGGAAGAGAGAACCGCGAGGACTCAAGAGGCTTGTGTATCGCTCTGTCTGCACCTATGGCTATATGTAGCCTAAAGGTGGACATGAATTTGGGGGGTTACCACCGGATTAAAAGCTCGGTTACAGTCTCATAAAAATTGTTTAAAAACTTGTCTGGAAACGTTGGGGTTACACAAACGTATGTAAAACGCATTCAACCTCTTGTCTGGAAATGTTGGGAAGACAAACGTTTTAGAAAAATTAATTTGTTTAATGATCAAAAAACATTCTTGGTTTGACTTCAAACTCCAGACAGGCAAAATTTGAGTTTCTCCGGTAAGCCAAAATAATTATTTATTTGTAAAAATAATCTGGTAAAAGGAACTCACTACCTCTTGAACTCGCGCGCAGGGGGGGCGAATCGGCTGATTTCAACTGCGATTGCCCTGAGTTGGCCTGTCTCATGTGCGCAAGGCCACTTCTCTTCCAAGCCCATTTTACTAGCCCACTTCATTCCTTAGTATATATACACTAGGAGAGTCTTTCTTTTAATCAATGTGGGACTTTGACACACACACACTTTTGACACACATACAACAATCCCCTACATGTGTCAAAAGGATCTATGTTCGTCTGAGTTATTCACACGGAGGATAATCACTTTGAATTTGGTGTCTGTCGACTTGAACCAAACTTAGACTAATAAAACTTAGCACATAGAAAAGTCAGTATAACTT